TCACACGCCGGTCATAGTAGTAGAAGAGGAGCCGCCTGGTTACGTCGTACGGCACCGTTCCTATGAAAGGCATGTGCGCGTATCATGCCCAGACACACACAGTTTCACCTCTCGCTCACCTCCCCGCCCAAAAAAACATTTGGAGACTGGCAAGCAAGCGACGAGCAGCCGCCAGACGACCTCTGTTTTTCCTCGGAAGGAAACAATGCTCGTGCGCTCGTGCGACGTGATCCCCAAACTAAGCAGCCCGTCTCCCGCTGCCTCCCAACCCCACTCTCCCTCTTTCCGCCCTCCAGCCACACGCCTTGCAGACAGCCGCGGATTTAACTTTCCACGCCGCGATCAAGGGCTTCCCGACACCTTATTTCTGCCTGACACCCCTTTCGCTTGCAAAGCCCCGCTCGCCATATGCTGGCGGTGGGGCGAGGGAGGGAGGGGAAAGGGCAGCAGGGCCCCCTCTCCTCCCCTCCCCGCGCTCCTTGCAGCTGCCGGGCCTGGCTAGCCCCGCTCGCGCTCTCTTTCCCCGCGGCACCTCGCCTGGCAAAGCCGGGGCTGAAACTCAAGCCTCTCCAGCGGGGAACCTGGGCTAGGGCCGGTCGCTCAACACCCCCCCCTCCCCAGGAGGTCTTCGGGCAGCCTAGCTTCCTAAGTCACACCCACTGCGCTCTGCCATTGGGCGGCGGCGGCAGAACGGGGATCGCCATTGGGTGCTAGAGACGTCGTTACACACACACACACACACACACACACAGAGAGAGAGAGAGAGAGAGAGAGAGAGAGAGAGAGAGAGAGAGAGAGAGAGAGAGAGAGAGAGAGAGAGAGAGAGAGAGAGAGAGAGAGAGAGAGAGAGAGAGAGAGAGACTCTCGGGCGCGCCTGGACTAGCCACCCAGTCTCTCTCTCTCTCTCGGTCCGGACGGCTTTGGCGGCGTGGGGGGTGGGCGACGCGCACACCTCCCGGTTTCCAGGCCAGCCGCTGGAGGAGGCGGAGGTGTAGCCAAAGCTCTGGCCTCACAAGGGGGGGGGAAGCGAGAGGGCCGGAGGCGAGGACAAGCCCGCAGGCGGGAGAACTTTGCTGTATTCACAGGAGCGGGGACACCGGAAGGCGCGGGCGGGGGGAGCACCTTGGGGTGTGTGTGGAGGTTGGGGTTAGACGGCGCCGGAGGCTCCCGGGAGTCGCCTTGCCTCGTTTTCAGCCTCCAGAAGGCGGCGGCGTTGGCGGCGTGACTGGAGTGCCATAAGGAGCCCCTGGGAGGACCGCAGACTTTTTTTTTGCCTTGGAGGCATTCCTCTCCACGCCGTGGGGCGAGCGGTGCAGCAGACAATGCTGCGGTCCGGCGGCTGGACTCGGACGCGGAGTTAGCCAGCAGCAGCAGCCGCCGCCTCATTAGTCTTCCGGAGGGAAAAGAAAAGAGTTCTCCCCGTGCTTACTAGTCGCTTTTTCCAGTTCTTTGCTGCTGCTGCTGCTGCGCTTAGGGATGGTGCCGGCTCCAGGATTAGCCTGAAGTTCTTCCTCCTCTTCTTCTTTTCTTCGGGGAGTGCCCCGCCGGTTCAGTTCTTAGCGCTTGCAGATCCGGCGTGGGACGCCCACAAGGGAGAGGGTCTCCTGCCTGCCCCCCCCCGCTTCGCTTCTGAACGACCTCCCTGCTGGACGACAATATTGGCATACACAATTGCAAAAGCTTTTTTACCCCTCGCTTCCCCGTCGAAGCAGAAACTTGTGGATGATGTCAACTCCAAGCAGATTCAAAAAGGACAAAGAGATCATAGCCGAATATGAAAGTCAAGTGAAAGGTAAAAAAGGGTGGGAGGGGTGGGTTAGGGTGCCTTTGGTTTTTCCCTCCCCCCACATGTAAGCTCTCTCAAGAATACAGATCTTTTGCTCCAGCTTAATTAACCAAGAAGAACTGGCTCTCCCTGGTTCTGTACAGTATATGCAACCCCTAACATGGGTTACTACAATCATCTTTATCTCTCCCTCTGCTCCAGACAATCAAAATGGCATTGGTTTGAGCTCAGGGGGAAAGTCCACTTCTACATCACCCGCTTACTGCGATAAATTGTGCTCTCTCTGTGAGTTTGTGTCATGAGGCTGAATGCAACCATTTCAGATGATAAGTGTTCCAACTTCCAGCTGGAGACTTGTGACAGTCATCCAGTTCATGGAAGTCAAAGTGTCTAGTAGGGAAGAAAATGTGTAAGTAGGAGAGATACTGGAAGACCATTTATTTGGATAGTTTCCCCCCCAGGAATCATGGTCAGAGTTGACCTTGAGCTGCAGTTAATCTGGAAGTGAAGATTGTCACCTCTGCTACCTGATCCTAGGATTCTGATAACACAGATAATGATTGCTGTGCATAATTCCTCTGTAGGCTGCACTTTGAGAGATGTGTGTATATTTCTGTATCTGTGCTCCACAAAAGCTGCGTGGCATCAGTTTATCAGAGGAAAGGGTGGTAGCTAGTTCACAACTCCATGTATAAGGAACAACTGCTGAGCATGTGCATCTTCCTTTTAATCATTTAGGAATGTGCAAGCAGTCTTAAAACCTGTCTTTTGCCAGCAGAAGTGACAATGAGAAACACCAGTTTTTTGACCTTTTCCTATATACAGTACAGTACTGTACATCAATTCTGTTTACCCTCATGGATATATTTTTCTGTCACACACTGGTGATGAGTTCAAAATCTTAGATCATATTTCATGAACTCTACTTCTGTATTATGCAAAATACCTCATTATATCCTGGATTCCTGATAAGTCACTCCTGTTCTGTAGACCTTGGCAGCCATTGAGTAAAAATGTCTTCTTAAAACAAGCAAGACTTTCCTTCTGTTGATGTGTGAGCACATAGGATGTTCTTTATTTTGGCAGCTGAAAATCAACATGGGCTGTATTGAAAGTTGCCAGCATTATTTGCATATGCACTAAAACTTTGTTTCAGGTTTGTGTTTGTCTTTAAGAAAAAATATTTGAAATACACATTACATATGCAAATCCAATTTATGATATATGCCGGTGCCAGGAACTTTCTTTTCTGGTTGGTAGTTAATCTTTACCATGGGGAGTTGGATGGCAATCACCCACTTGCTCTCTTCCCCCCCCCCATCATCCAAGGATGTGGTCATACTCTCTTTGTCATTTCTTTGCTTCCGTTTGTTTCTCCAGCAGATGATTAGTATGCATCTTCCTTTTCCTGCCCTCACTTTTAGGGCACCCCCACATTTCAAATCACATTGTTTCAGGAAGGGCATTGGAAGTGAAGCTCTGGACGTCATTTTTCTCATGTTCCTGTGAGATCTCTCTTTACCCTGAGCTGTATGGGGAAAACAGCCTGTTTTTCCCCTCAGCAGAGGCAGTTGTTAAAGATGCTCACGGCCTATCAGATTGGCATAGAAGGGGAAGGGAGGTGCTGCAGTTCCTCAGCTCAGATGAAAGAGTTATTGGAGGGAAGAAACAGCAGCAGATAGTTTGCTTTTAAAAGTTTAAAAAGCTTTCTCATTTGCCCCATTATACTAATTCTTGTACTACCCTTTTAAATTTTCTTCTTGGTTATTTCCTTTTATTTCTGCTCCATTTAATCTATCCTTTGTTCCTCTTTCTGTATTTCTCCTCTTTTTTGTTTTTGCCTAAGTTCTTACCTTTTAAACATTTATGGTCTTTTTACTCTGTCCTATCATTGCCCTTTTCTTTCTCCATATCTCACCCTTTGCTTGGTTTTGGTTTTTCTTCCTTTACCCCAAACCTCAAAGGCATCAGTAGCTTTGGGTTGGAGAAGGCCATGCCCTAAGATGAGATATCCCCCATATCATCACTGTGTGTTCTTCTCCATCCGAATAGCTTGTAAAGACTATGCATCATGTGATATGCATAGGAATTAGAAAGGGTGGGTTGGTTGAGTGGTGTGAACCATCAAGTTGGAATCAACTTCTAGTGATCCTAATAGGGCTTCCAAGGTAAGTGAGATATTTAAGGAGTGGAGTTTCTGTGGCTGAGCAAGGATTTGAATCATGGTCTCCAGAGCCCTACTCCATCACTTTATTCACTAACACCATGCCGGGAATCCAGTGTTTACTTGGAAATAAATCCCATTGAGTTTGAGGCAGTTTAGTTCCATGTAAATACATATAGGGTAAAAAGGAGATTGTGTCTGCCTCATCTGCTTGGGAGGAAAAGGGAGACGTTGTTGATATATTTCACTACCAGGAAAGATTTATGTGCCTGGATTTCTTGAAACTTCCTCTATTGCAAGCATATGGTGTTTGGTCCAATGGACTCATGCACAGGAGTGCAGACTTACAAAGGAGAGAGAGATGAAGGCAGGAGAGCATTTCTGAGAGAGATGATACTTAGAAACATAAGAATGAGAAGCACAGCAATGTCAGCCTTGATTGGCAGTGCTCTCCAGAGTTTCAGGCACAATTTCTTCTTAGCTGTACCTGGAAGTCATTGGTGTTCTCTGGTGGTCTGCCCTCTAAGTGCTAATCATGTCCATCCTTGCTTAGCTTCTGAAGTCAGATGGGGGTTTGTTCAGGGTAGCATGTTGTGCAATTTTTGTAGATGGCTGCAATTCATTCTCTCAAATAGTCTGCCTTTCTGTAAACTGATTTTCTGTTGTTGCTGAAGAAAGTGGTTCAGCACCTAACCTATCTCTGTTTACTGTAAGCTGCTTTGCCCTTTGCCCTGGCAGCTATGGTATGACCAATCTCAAACCTGTTTTATTCAGTTAAGCAAAGAACTAAGTCTTTATAGGCAATGAAGTTCTTGTAGTGACACATCTGCACTATCAGTGTTTTTTTTAAAGCAGAGAAGCACTAGAAAGTGAATATATCTACAGTTGTTGTCTGTATCCAAGTTGGAGACATTTGCTTGACCCTTAGCATTTTTATCAAAGCTGTCTCTCATACATGGGCACATACAAGTTGATAGATGGGAGTCTGCATAACTGTTTTGTGATATGCGTCCCAGAGTGTGCGGCTGCTGCCAAAATGGTGGGATAACAAGTCATCACTCCCCTACCACACCGTCCTTTATATTCATCCACCAGGAACTCTTTGTATTAGGCCTGGGCTTTCATAGTCATGAAAGACGGGGTTTATTTTAGCAATTTTGAGAGACAGAGAACATGTGGGAAAGGGGGTTGAAACTCAACTAGCACTTCTGTGCTTCCCGTTGGCTAACAACTGCTATTGTAGTTCTGAGAAAACTCATTTAGTCCTGGTGATTAAGATCTGAATGAGATAACCTCTCTCAAATGTGATCTGTGTGTCATACAGATATCATCTATGGGGCAAACAGGGAGCAAACCTCTGATAGTTACAGAGCCCCAGGCATCCATGTTTATTTCATTTGTGTCCATGCATGTTGATTCTTAATTACTTTCTTGCTGTTAAGATCGTGTCTGATTTTATGGGGCATGCAGTGTCCTTAAAATGGTGATTTGTCATGATATCATTGAAAAAACCCAGAAATGTGTTTCTTATATATATTTTTCAGAAAAGTAACTTACATTTTTTAAGAAAATAGTCAAATCTTGCTTTTGGCTAGTGGCCTGTGGATGGGGGTAGTTTAGGTTGATATAAATAAATACATTAAAAGGATGGCAGTTAACGTAATTTTGGCAGAAGCATCCATGGAAAGCAAAAGTGGTGGCATCTCTTTATCATTAACAAACTGCATAAGCCTGTTGTTAAGGAGACAAAGAATCATTTGACTATTTTGCTTCCAACCGAGGACACCAGTTGTGAGTGATTGCCAACACCAAATTTCTTAGTACTGAAGTTCCAGATTAATTTTCCTGCCAGCACTTAATATTTAATTAATTAATTAATTTAAATGTTATTCAGCATGTTACAGCCCTAACAATTATCTGCATGAAGAAGTCTCATTTGTCTTTATGTTGTTGTGTGCTGTCAAGTCGCCTCTGACTTACGACGACCATGTGAGTTAGCAATCTCCAAAATGTGCTGTCCTCAACAGTCCTGCTCAACTCTTGTAATCTCAATCCTGTATCTTCCTTTAAGGAATCAATGCATCTCATATTTGGTCTTCTCTTTTCCTACTACCTTAAAGTCTTCCCAGCATTATTGTCTTTTCTAGAGAATCTTGCCTTCTCATTACGTGCCCAAAAATATGATCCTTATGGCTTTTGCTAAAACTGGTAATGGCATCTTAAAGGAGCTCATGTGGCAAAAAGCGGTAGTGCCAAGGGAGGTGAAGTGGAAAGAAGGACCACTCTTGCATATATAACAAAGACCTGAGCTTTAAATATGAAAAATGACAGTGAGTTGATGACAGTGATGATTTCAAAAACAGATTCTTGAAGACTATGTCTGATATGAATTGTTGTTCTTGTGTATTCTGAGAACATACTGCAAAGAACAGACTACGAGAAGCAGCATACCTTTTATATGTGTGCATGTGTACACATGCAGTACCTATTGTGTAAGAGAGAGGATTTAGGCTGTCACGTTTTAGAGAACTGTCTATACAATTGAAAGTATATACTGTATTGGTTAATCTGATCAATTAAATGTTAAGTTATGATAATAATCATTCTTTGCAGTGTGCTTTACCAGATTGTGGTGGTCTCGTATGTATGTTTTATTCAGAGAGGGGCTAATTAGGAAACTAATTACCACTTATCTTTTTCATGAAGAATAGACACATGAAATTAGCCCTCCTGGACCAGGCGAAGGTCATGTCTAGTGCAGCATTTCTGTCCTTACAGTGGCCATACACAGTAAGTGTCTGCGGGAAATCCACAGGGAGGACATGAGTGCTGGCTCATGTTC